TGCCCCCCACTCCAGTCCTCGAAGACCAGCAAAACATAAGGCTAATAAGGGAACTACTCCAGACCCTCTACACGTCCTTATGTACGCTGGTCCAGAGAGTCGGCAAGTCTGTGCTGGTCGGGAACATCAACATGTGGGTGTACCGGATGGAGACCATTCTCCACTGGCAGCAGCTGAACAGTATCCAAAATCACCAGGGCAGCAGCAGCTCGGCTTTCCCTTTCTGGCAGTAAAGACGTTATTCGGGGTCCACGGCCAGGCAGGACTTTAAATCCCGCGGTGGTGGTGGAAGGGTCTCAACTATTCTGATGTGATGCTCTACTTGGGTGCTGGGAGGCTAGAACTTCCCAGGAGAGGAAGCAGAAGAACTTGCAACAGGATCAAAGTGTGGGAACTGAAACCTGGTAGGAAAACTGGAGACTTCGATCTGGGGAATCTCTCCTCTTTGCCCATTTCCTCTAAAGAACCTGTCCTCATAGCTCCAGGAATGCTGCCTTGGATATGATAGAGCTGTCATGGCAGTGGCTTGAAAACTGGTGCCAACTTTTGAAAATTCTAGTTCCAATGAATAATTATGACAAGGAAGCCTTTGGTTAAAGACTGTGGGGCGCCCTGGGGTGGCGCAATCAGTTAAGCGTCCACTTCAGCCAGGTCACGATCCGCCGGTCCGTGAGTTCGAGCCCCAGGTCAGCTCCCCATTGATGGCTTCGGAGCCTGGAGCCTGTTTCCGATTCTGTGTCTCCCTCTCTCTCTGCCCCTCCCGCTCATGCTCTGTCTCTCTCTGTCCCAAAATAACAAATAAGTTGAAAAAAAAATTTAAAAAAAAAAAGACTGTGAACATACATGCTAGGAAAGAGAAGAGTAATTCTCACTCAAAGCAAAAAAAAAAAAAAAGCCCTATATTACAATGAAACTACTATAAGTAGTGTCTTTTGACTTTACAACATAATTTGGCCCCCAGCTCTTGTCTTCTTAATAGTGAGCAGCAGAAGGCACACAAAAATGTGAGAAGGACACTGCTGTAATTCTAAGGCTCGCTAATGGACAGGCATACCAGACCGCTCACATAGCTGACTCAGGATCTAATCACCCACCGGCACTGTTCTAAGTGGTTCCGGGACCCAAGCTGATAAAGTTTGGGTCCGCCCCATCTCTCCGAGGCAGTAGCATGAAAAACCTGTCTGACCTCTTTTAAATAATTACTTTACTAACAAAGTTTTCAAAATGTAGCATCCTTGACTTTGCTGTTAACACCTCTCTAAGACTTAGTTTTCAAACCCTGAACAAGGGGAATAATTAGAAGCCTCAGAATTATGTGACTTCCTTAGTCACGAGGCTGGGCAACTCCACACTTACACACACACACACACACACACACACACACACAGTGGAGCTCAAGCCCAGATAATCTTTCAAAAGCTATCTCAATTATTTGACTATTTTAAGAGTACATTCTGAACCTTTACCTAGTTTATTCTAATAATTTACCCCAATCCCTTCTCTCAGGTATGGGCATAGTTTGACAACATGAACTTGTGACCCAGATTCCCAGCTTATCTCTCCCAGAAAATTCACTTACACCTTCACCTGATTTCTGGTATTCTGTGTAGCCCTGGACTTATCATTTTTTTTTTTTTGGTCTAAGCCCAGGAGAGAATTACCTCCAGCCAGTGATCTAAATGAGCAAGTCCCATTTGTCTCAGGGCATCTTCTCCCAGGGAATTTGGGACACTGTTTAGATGATCACACTTGCCTAGAGCTTGCCTCTGTTCCTCTGTCCACACCACAGGAGCCCCATGGGCTTACCTAGAACCACCCCTTAATTGACCCATGGACACCGGAAGATAGCCATTAGTTCATTGTACTCTAACCCTTCATGGTAAGTGAGGGTAGGGGACCAGAGAAGCCCAGTGACTTAGGTCAAAACCGGGACTCTCTATTCTCTACACGGCAAAGCTTTCTTAACGTCAGAGATTTCCAAACTTCTTTTCAATCCAGCTTTCTTCCAACTATTTATTCCATGATCCAGCTTTTCTAAACCTTTTTAAATCCAGCGCCAATCCTGTGGCAGTATGCATTGCATATGGAAGTTTTGTCTCACTGCCCCTCTGCTCCTGGCACTACAGCCAGGCAAGCTATTCCTGCCTTCCAAGCGTTCTCCCCTCTACTATGCATGCGATCCACGGAAACCACTCTCTTTCACCTACTTTCAGAGTCGTTATTGCTATGTGAAATTATCTCTACCTGGTTTGCTCATTTTCCCTGCCTCCATCCTGGCTGCTGGCACCGCGAAAGACCCCATTCCGCTTGGTTTGCTTTCCTCTGTTTTCCTCTTCCTTGCTTGCTCAGGCAGTCAGTAAATCTGAGGCATGAATGGATATGAAGAAGTCCCCACCACCTGCCTGAAGCAACGTGCAGTGTTTGGGGAAGGTATAGATGGAAATACTGCCCTGGGTTAAGGGATGATGGCGCTAACATTTGCAGAATTTGGGGTGAGTTAGTCAGCATCTCGGGCCGCTCATTGGAAAATAAAGGCAGTAATACTGATCTCCCATTTCAGCCCTAGTGTAGGATTTAATAACCTATAGAAAGTACTTGGAACAGTGCCTGACATGTAGTAAGTCTTTAAATGTGTCAGCTCTATTATTACTAATGGCTCACTCTGTACGCTTTCTTCCAAGTCTTTCATGTTGTATTAATTAATAATTGTAAGTAGGGGTCTTTATGATAGCTCATTTTTCACTGGGCACTGGGCTAAGTACTTCTGTGCATTATCTCTTCCACCCTGCCCGGCAACACTATAAGATACACTTTTCCTCATTTTATAAATGAGAAAAATTAGACTCATGTGAGTTAAGAATAGCTGGCTGGTGCCTGATACAGATCAGATGTAGCAGTGTGGGGACTGAACCTCAGGCCTGGCTACAGAGACCGCTTCACCCATACTCTCTGTTCTCTGCCCCTCTCCTTCCCAGCCCCTCCTTGCTCTGAGCCAGTGATTTCTTAAAAAATTTTCAACGTTTATTATTTTGGGGACAGAGAGACAGAGCATGAAACGGGAGGGCAGAGAGAGGGAGACACAGAATCGAAACAGGCTCCAGGCTCGAGCCATCAGCCCAGAGCCCGACGCTGGCTCGAACTCACGGACCTTGAGATCGTGACCACAGTCGGACGCCTAACCGACTGCGCCACCCAGGCACCCTGAGCCAGTGATTTTGAGAGCAGTGATGGGAACATGGAGCCCTAAAAGAGCTTGTCACACAAATGCCCAGCTCTGGAGGAAAGAAAGAGAGAAGGGAATTCGTTACTTCAGTGTGGATCATTTTAAAGCCAACTTTTTTAACAGTTTGGACCAAAGAGAAGTATGTTATCACACAAAAATGTTAAGGTGACATTCACACTAATTGCTTTCTATTTGCCAAAGTCCTAGCACTGTCTTCCCGGCATATAATCTCATTTCCCTTCAAATTTCATCTCTAATTACATGGAGCCACAAAGTGTTGTGTTTGGCAAAAATAATTAATAGGATAAAGGATGATGGGAAAAAAAAAAGAGAACTGGTTTGGAGGGAGAAAAGTCAATAGAGCCACAGAGTGCTGTGGGCAGGTTTGGGGAGCATGTAGAGGATATAGAGAATCCATAAAGAATTTTTTTTTCCCAATGTTTGTTTATTTTTTCAGAGAGAGAGAGAGAGGTGTGCATGAGCAAGTATGGGTGGGGGAGGGCAGAGAGAGAGGGAGACAGAATCTGAAGCAGGCTCCAGGCTCTGAGCTGTCAGCACAAACCCTATATGGGGCTCAAACCCACCAACCCATGAGATCATGACTCCGAAAGGGAAGTCAAATGCTTAACCGACTGAACCACCCAGGCACCCCTAAAAGGATTTTAGCCAAATGCTTGACTGGAAGAGCAAGAGTGACTTATTTTCTTATATATTTACATTCAAAAGAAGGCATATAAGCAGTTAAAACCATTTTTTATCAGGAGTAAGGGCTCAGCATGGGGTCTGGGCAAATATTTGGAAAAAGTTCAGGTTTGAAAATTTGAGAGTGAACTCTGCCAAGTGGACTTTAATAGGAGTTCATGTAATAATTGGCCTGGGAGTTTTAACCAAAAAAAGTAGATGCTTTGAAGTGCTGGAAACAAAAGAAAATGTCATGGCAGTTTTATTAGCTCACATGATCACCAGCAGATGATAAACGACAAATAGGTCTAGACTGGCAGCCCGGTAAAGTCTGAATTTGCAAACAATTGAAAGTTCAGCCCAGCAGCCTGAACAATTTAAATTGTCAAGTCATAGACATTTCTGATGAGTTAAGAGGCTGAAGCGATCCACATCCAGATTGTCGGAGCTAGAAGGGATCATCAGAGTCTCAAGTCTTCTCATTCATTTTGGACATGGGAAACTGAGACCCAAGTTCCCAAGGACACCTGGGATCAGATCTGCTTGTCCATTCGGTGTATCCTCCCATGTCACCTGCCATTCTCCACAGTCCAACTAAGGCTCCTGCCACTTCCTACCTTCCCTCTACACCTCTCCTGCTGGCAAGGGACACAGGTGGGAGTCAATAAAGACTGCATACCTCTGGAATCCTGGGGTGGGGGGGGGCTTGTGTCCTCGAGGCAAGTAGTTCCTAAAAATTTGAGGAGGACTCAATACCTTTGACAAGATAGTTTCCCTGAGTAAGGAAGGCTTCTTCATCCTCTATTTTTTCCTTGAACGCCAGCTTCCCCCACCGCCAGATGTGACAGAGCACTGAGCTAAAAATGTCCATAGTCCAAAATCAAGAGCACACAGGTCTAGCGTGAGAAGGACAAGAACTACATTTTGGATGACATTGCGACTTTGTATCTAATGGCAGCATCCAGGGCTAATAAGGGAACTACTCCAGACCCTCTACACGTCCTTATGTACGCTGGTCCAGAGAGTCGGCAAGTCTGTGCTGGTCGGGAACATCAACATGTGGGTGTACCGGATGGAGACCATTCTCCACTGGCAGCAGCAGCTGAACAGTATCCAAATCACCAGGGTAAGCAGCAGCGCCCCGGCTTCCTTCTGGCAGTAAAGACGTTAGTCGGGGTCCTCCACGGCGAGGCAGGACTTTAAATCCACGGTGGTGGTGGAAGGGTCTCAACTATTCTGATCTGATGCTCTCTACTTGGGTGCTGGGAGCGGGCTAGAACTTCCCAGGAGAGGGAAGCAGAAGAACTTGGCAAAACAGGATCAAAGTGTGGGAACTGAAACCTGGTAGGAAAACTGGAGACTTCGATCTGGGGAATCTCTCCTCTTTGCCCATTTCCTCCTAAAGAACCTGTCCCTCATAGCTCCAGGAATGCTGCCTTGGCTATGATAGAGCTACGATGGCAGTGGCTTGGAAAACTGGTGCCAACTTTTGAAAATTCTAGTTCCAATGAATAATTATGACAAGGAAGCCTTTGGTTAAAGACTGTGTGGGGCTCCTGGGTGGCGCAGTCGGTTAAGCGTCCGACTTCAGCCAGGTCACGATCTCGCGGTCCGTGAGTTCGAGCCCCAGGTCAGCTCCCCATTGATGGCTTCGGAGCCTGGAGCCTGTTTCCGATTCTGTGTCTCCCTCTCTCTCTGCCCCTCCCGTTCATGCTCTGTCTCTCTCTGTCCCAAAAAAATAAATAAGTTGAAAAAAAAATTTAAAAAAAAAAAGACTGTGAACATACATGTAGGAAAGAGAAGAGTAATTCTCACTCAAAGCAAAAAAAAAAAAAAAGCCCTATATTACAATGAAACTACTATAAGTAGTGTCTTTTGACTTTTACAACATAATTTGGCCCCCAGCTCTTGTCTTCTTAATAGTGAGCAGCAGGACGAAGGCACACAAAAATGTGAGAAGGACACTGCTGTAATCTCTAAGGCTCGCTAATGGACAGGCATACTTAGACCGCTCACATAGCGCTCGACTCCCGTATCTAATCACCCACCGCACTGTTCTAAGTGGTTCCGGGACCCAAGCTGATAAAGTTTGGGTCCGCCCCATCTCTCGAGGCAGTAGCATGAAAAAAACCTGTCTGACCTCTTTTAAATAATTACTTTACTAACAAAGTTTTCAAAATGTAGCATCCTTGACTTTGCTGTTAACACCCTCTCTAAGACTTAGTTTCTCAAACCCTGAAACAAGGGGAATAATTAGAAGCCTCAGAATTATGTGACTTCCTTAGTCACGTAGGCTACAACTCCCACACTTACACACACACACACACACACACACACACACACACACACAGCAGAGCTCAAGCCCAGATAATCTTTCAAAAGCTATCTCAATTATTTGACTATTTTAAGAGAGTACATTCTGAACCTTTACCTAGTTTATTCTAATAATTTACCCCAATCCCTTCTCTCAGGTATGGGCATAGTTTGACAACATGAACTTGTGACCCAGATTCCCAGCTTATCTCTCCCAGAAAATTCACTTACACCTTCTACCTGATTTCTGGTATTCTGTGTAGCCTGGACTTAATACTTTTTTTTTTTTTTTTTTTTTTGGTCTAAGCCCAGGAGAGAATTACTCAGCCAGTGATCTAAATGAGCAAGTCCCATTTGTCTCAAGGGCATCTTCTCCCAGGGGAATTTGGGACACTGTTTAGATGATCACACTTGCCTAGAGCTTGCCTCTGTTCCCTCTGTCCACACCACAGGAGCCCCATGGGCTTACTTACCTAGAACCACCCCCTTAATTGACCCATGGACACCGGAAGATAGCCATTGTAGTTACTCTAACCCTTCATGGAGTGAGAGGGTAGTGGGGACCAGAGAAGCCCAGTGACTTAGGTCAAAACCGGGACTCTCTATTCCTCACACGGCAAAGCTTTCTTAACGTCAGAGATTTCCAAACTTCTTTTCAATCCAGCTTTCTTCCAACTATTTATTCCATGATCCAGCTTTTCGCAACCTTTTAAATCCAGCGCAATCCTGTGCAGGACAGATCAGACATGGAAGTTCATCTCACTCGCCCCTCTGCTCCTGGCACTACAGCCAGGCCAAGCTATTCCCTGCCCCTTCCAAGCTTGGTCCCGCCTCCCCAGACCATGCGATCCACGGAAACCACTCTCCCCTCACCTTCTTCAGAGTCGTTATTGCTATGTGAAATTATCTCCTGCCTGGTTCCACTTCCCTGCCTCCATCCACTGGCTTCTGAGCACCGCAGGGAAAGACCCCACCATCTTGCTCCCTCTCTGTTCCCTCTTCCTTGCTCAGAGCAGAAGGCAGTCAGTAAATCTGAGACGAATGGATGAACGATTGAAGGGAAGTCCCCCACCACCTGCCTGAAATAACTCGTGCAGTGTTTGGGGGAATATAGATGGAAAATACTGCCCTGGGTTAGGGATGATGATAAACATTTACCAATTGCAGAATTTGGGGTGAGTTAGTCAGCATCTCCGGGCCCCATTTGGAAAATAAAGGCAGTAATACTGATCTCCTAGCCCTAGTGTAGGATTTAATAACCTATAGAAAGTACTTGGAACAGTGCCTGACATGTAGTAAGTCTTTAAATGTGTCAGCTCTTATTATTACTAATGGCTCACTCTGTGGCCGGCTTTCTTCCAAGTCTTTCATGTTGTATTAATTAATAATTGTAAGTAGGGGTCTTTATGATAGCTCATTTTCACTGGGCACTGGGCTAAGTACTTCTGTGCATTATCTCTTCCACCCTGCCCGGCAACACTATAAGATACACTTTTCCTCATTTTATAAATGAGAAAAATTAGACTGCGTAGTTAAGAATAGCTGGCTGGTGCCTTGATACAGATCAGATGTAGCAGTGTGGGGACTGAACCTCAGGCCTGGCTACAGAGACCGCGCCTCTACCCATACTCTCTGCTCCCCTCTGCCCTCCTTCCCAGCCCTCCTTGCTCTGAGCCAGTGATTTCTTAAAAAAAATTTTTTTTTCAACGTTTATTTATTTTGGGGACAGAGAGAGACAGAGCATGAACGGGGGAGGGGCAGAGAGAGAGGGAGACACAGAATCGGAAACAGGCTCCAGGCTCCGAGCCATCAGCCCAGAGCCCGACGCGGGGCTCGAACTCACGGACCGCGAGATCGTGACCTGGCTGAAGTCGGACGCCCAACCGACTGCGCCACCCAGGCACCCCTGAGCCAGTGATTTTGAGAGCAGTGATGGGAACCCATGGAGCCCTAAAGAGCTTGTCACACAAATGCCCAGCTCTCTGGAGGAAAGAAAGAGAGAAGGGAATTCGTTACTTCAGTGTGGACTGTATTTTAAAGCCAACTTTTTAACAGTTTGGACCAAAGAGAAGTATGTTATCACACAAAAATGTTAAGGTGACATTCACACTAATTGCTTTCTATTTGCCAAAGTCCTAGCACTGTCTTCCCGGCATATAATCTCATTTCCCTTCAAAATTTCATCTCTAATTACATGGAGCCAATGTTGTTTGGCAAAAATAATTAATAGGATAAAGGATGATGGGGAAAAAAAAAAGAGAACTGGTTTGGAGGGGAGAAAAGTCAAATAGAGCCACAGAGTGCTGTGGGCAAGGCAGGGTTTGGGAGCATGTAGAGGATATAGAGAATCCATAAAAGAATTTTTTTTTCCCAATGTTTGTTTATTTTTCAGAGAGAGAGAGAGAGAGAGGGTGTGCATGAGCAAGTATGGGTGGGGGAGGGGCAGAGAGAGAGGGAGACAGAATCTGAAGCAGGCTCCAGGCTCTGAGCTGTCAGCACAGAACCCTATATGGGGCTCAAACCCACCAACCGCGAGATCATGACCTGAGCCGAAGTCAAATGCTTAACCGACTGAACCACCCAGGCACCCCTAAAAGGATTTTAGCCAAATGCTTGACTGGAAGAGCAAGAGTGACTTATTTTTCTTATATATTTACATTCAAAAAGAAGAAGGCATATAAGCAGTTAAAACCATTTATCAGGAGTAAGGGCTCAGCATGGGGTCTGGGCAAATATTTTGGAAAAGTTCAGGTTTGAAAATTTGAGAGTGAACTCTGCCAAGTGGACTTTAATAGGAGTTCATGTAATAATTGGCCTGGGAGTTTTAACCAAAAAAGTAGATGCTTTGAAGTGCTGGAAACAAAAAGAAAATGTCATGGCAGTTTTATTAGCTCACATGATCACCAGCAGATGATAAACGACAAATAGGTCTAGAGCCTTCAGCAGCCCGGCAAAGTCCTGAATTTTGCAAACAATTGAAAGTTCAGCCCAGCAGCCTGAACAATTTAAATTGTCAAGTCATAGACATTTCTGATGAGTTAAGAGGCTGAAGCCGATCCACATCCGAGATTGTCGGAGCTAGAAGGGATCATCAGAGTCTTCTAAGCTCATTCATTTTGGACATGGGGAAACTGAGACCCAGAGTTCCCAAGGACACCTGGGATCCAGATCTGCTTGTCCATTCGGTGTATCTCCCATGTCACCTGCCATTCTTCTCCACAGTCCAACTTCCCAAGGCCCCCTGCCACTTCCCACCTTCCCTCTACACACCTCTCCTGCTTGGCAAGGGACACAGGTGGGAGTCAATAAAGACTGCATACCCCCTGGAATCCTGGGCGGTGGGGGGGCTTTGGTGTCCCTCGAACAGAGTAGTTCCCTAAAAATTTGAGGAGGGGACTCAATACCCTTTGACAAGATAGTTTTCCCTGAGCTAAGGAAGGGCTTCTTCATCCTCTATTTTTTTCCCTTGAACGCGCCCCCCCCCACCCCCGCCAGATGTGACAGAGCACTGAGCTAAAAATGTCCATAGTCCAAAATCAAGAGCACACCCAGGTCTAGCGTGAGAAGGACAAAGAACCACAATTTTGGATGATTTGTGCTGACTTTGTATCCAAATGGCAGCATCCAGATGCTGTTCAAGACATATCAGCAAATACTACTGAGGACCTCCTCCATACAGACTGTTGCCAGAGCACTCTGTGCTTACTTCCTGGTCAGCACTTAACATACTGCTCTATAATTATTTGCTTATGTTTCTGAGTATCTTGCCAGCCTAAGGAACCCATTCCAACTCCAGTACCAGGACACAGCAGGCCCTCAAAAGAGGTGGTTTGTGCTGGGCTAGGCTGCAAGGGATATGAAATTAGACCCCCCCCCCCCTTCAAGGTTCAAAGTGTAGATGGGGTAACATAAGCCCATCAAAATTTAAACAATAAATGTAAAATTAAACAGTAAATATAAAATTAAAGTTCAGGCTTATAGTAGAGGTTTCTGATTAATAGCCTGTGTATTATTATCCACAAAGAGTTTTTTAAATGTCCCATGGAGCCCTAGGTTTGAAGAGAGATGCTCTAATGGATGGAATGGATGGTGTCACTTAGGTCAGAAGGTTCTGGACGAGTTAGTTCCAAAGCGCACATGCATGTGCACATACACCCAGGCACAGGGTCTTTTTGTTGCTGTTTTTTTTACCTCCTTAATTATTAAGGTTTTGTTCATCCCTCAGGTACTTATTGGGTGCCACTCTATGCTAGGCACAAAGGAGACAGCAATGACAAAAGACAAAAAGTCCGGCCCCCGTGGAGCTTACCTTCAGCAGGAACGTTCCATTAAGCTTTCTTTGGGAAAATGCCTTACATAACAAAAAGGCACTGGTTCCAAAAGTACCCGAGAGAGATCATGGGAGTTCCAGGAAGATGCAGTGAAAGAGGGCTGGGGTAGTCACAAACGCAGTAAAAGGCCTTTCGGAGGAAACAAGAAGACGCTGGATCTGAGGGAAAGTAATTGGGATGGGCAGAGAGGCCTGGGGAGAGCAGGGGCCCATGGGCAGCATGTTTGGGCACAGGTGAGAAAGCCCGCTTAGAGATGGGTTGTCAGGAGGGGCAGTGACAGAGTCAACTCAGGCGGCAGGGGCGGGTGGCGCCCTGTCCCAGGCACCCCGCCCTTGAAGAAGGTAGCGAATCTCGTCGCGGAGTGAATTGAGTGGAGCACCAGAATCGAACATGTGCTGTGCTGTTCAGAGGATCGTTAAAAGTATAAAGCTTTGTCAATCTCAGGAAAATCCCTCTGGCACCATTCAGCTCGAGCTGTTCAGGGCTGTTCCTGTGGGTCTCGGCCACGGGTCCTGCATTTAGGGCATTTCTGCATTTAAAGCAGGGAGAATTGCTGCTTCTAATCTCTGATCAAAAAACCAACTTGAGGGTAGAGGACGAGGGGACAGCTGCATCCCTGGAGGGTGTCACCTGGTGATCCGCTGCCCTCCCACCCTGCAACCCACAACTTAACATCATCCTTCTCCCCACAGCCTGCCTTCAAGGGCCTCACCTTCACCGACCTGCCTTTATGCTTACAACTGAACATCATGCAGAGGCTGAGTGACGGGCGGGACCTGGTCAGCCTGGGCCAGGTGGCTCCTGACCTGCACGTGCTCAGTGAGGACCGTCTGCTGTGGAAAAAGCTCTGCCAATACCACTTCTCTGAGCGGCAGGTCAGGGGGCCCAGCGGGCAGTCCTTCCTTCTCTCCCTTCTCTGTCCCCCACCCTCAGACATCCTTGGCATTCTTCTCGCACTTTAGGCATGGGTGCCCACCCTCCAGGGCTTCCTGGCCAACTGGAAAGCAACAGTACAGAGAGTTTCTAAATAACGTATGTGAGGGTTTCCCTTAAGGTGATTTTGATGAGAAAAAAAAAAAACTTACATTTTTTTTTAATGTTTATTTTGAGATGGAGACAACATGCGAGCAGAGGAGGGGCAGAGAGAGAGAGAGAGACAGAATCTGAAGCAGGCTCTAGGCTCTGAGCTGTCAGCACAGAGCCCAATGCAGGGCTTGAACCCACGAACCGCGAGATCATGACCTGAACCGAAGTCGGATGCTGAACTGACTGAGCCACTCAGGCTCCCCCACCAACTTACATTTTTAACCTATATGCACACTTTGCAATTTGCTTTAAAAAGTTCATAAAGGGGGCGCCTGGGTGTCCCAGTCAGTTAAGCATCTGACTCTTGATTTGGGCTCATGTCCTGATGTCACAGTTCATGGGACAGAGCCCGGCTTCAGGCTCTGCACTGCTTAGGATTCTCTCTCTCCCTCTCTCTCTCTCTGCCCCTCCCCTGCATTCATTCTCTCCCTCTCTCTCTCTCTCTCTCTCTCTCTCTCTCTCTGTCTCTCTCTCTCTCTCTCAAAAAGAAACATTTTTTAAAAGTTCCTAAAGTGGCATCAATCCTCCTTTTCTATAACAAGGTAACTTACAAAAGTCACTTATTTTCATGATATTTTACAGCTGATGTACTTTTACAGATATTATTTCATTTTAGTCTAATGACCCAGGGTGGAGTAGGTATCATTATGCTCACTTTAAACAGATGAGGGGGCTCAGACCACAGGTGGCTAAGTGACTGTCCAAACTAGGGGAATGGCTCTCGAGGTGAAGAAACCGGCCTTGAATCTGAATTTGAACTGGGGCCTTGTGACACCCAAGGAGTCCTGTTTCCCCTCCTCGTGCTGCCTCAGATTTTTTTTCCCCCAACTTCTTTATATAGACATGTGAGTTCAACAAGTTCTGTTCATGAAGCCACTAATATTTAGATCTAGATTAGAGGCACTATGCCAAGGAGTCACCGCATTTCCCGGGAAATAATCACTCAAGTCTACAGCTAAGAAAAGATTGAAGGTGTTTATGGAGATTACCTAAACTTTAAAGGACCATCCAAATATAATTTAGTAGAGGTCACTAGTAAGATGTCACCATCCACCTGTTTCTTTTAAAGACTGGTAAAAGCTACCATTTAACTGGGTAGAGCTCAGAAGTTCCCTCTTTATATCTTGGCTATTTTTTCCCTGGAAATTGCAGGACACAGATGAGAAAGGGGGAAGGAGGGTGGGAACAGAACTTTTCAGAACCAGAAAACCACAAGCCATGTTCTTGATGAACTCTTCTGCAACTATCTGTATTTGTTTGCAATTTAGATCCGCAAGCGATTAATTTTGTCAGACAAAGGACAGCTGGATTGGAAGAAGATGTATTTTAAACTTGTGCGATGTTACCCACGGAAAGAGCAGTATGGAGACACCCTTCAGCTTTGCAGACACTGTCACATTCTCTCCTGGAAGGTATGTGTCTCCGGTGGCTGCCACAGACCCCCAGCCCAGCCCCTAGGAGCCAGCAGCACTGCCAAAGCCTTTCCTACTCCTTTCCTGCTCTTCCCCTCTGCAGCCCCCAGCTGAAGGTGTAGGGAAACTGAGTCAGTGCCAGGGGAAAAAAACTTTCAAAGACATTCATTTCCTCCACCCCCTTACATATATATATTTTTTATATTTATGTATGTATATTTTATGTGTGTATATATATTTTTTTTATGCATCCCACCCACCTGCAAATTCTCCCATCTCTTTGGGCATAGGCATACACACACACACAGCTCTCTAGTTTTGCATAACTCACGGCATTCTTGACAGAGGAATGTTGCTGTGAGGTTGGGAAATGACTCACGGTGCTAACAAGCCAGCAGGATGCTTCTGAGAACCTAAACCTACCCATGATGTTCCTTTCCAGGGCACTGACCACCCGTGCACAGCCAATAACCCAGAGAGCTGCTCCGTTTCCCTTTCACCCCAGGACTTTATCAACTTGTTCAAGTTCTGAATCCCAGCACATGACGACACTTCAGACGGGTTCCCCGGCTGATTGGATTCTTGGGAATATGGAGTTTGGACACTTCATTTGTAAATAGTGTACATTTGAAATGCTGGCTCAAAACTTCTGAGATAAGTCACTGAGAGGATGTTGGAAGGGGAGAGATGCAGTTGCTGGCTGGGAATTTAAGACTATGGACTTCTCATTAGAATTGGTATGGAAAATCAGAAATACTGTAAATAAATTTTTTCCCTAACTATTTGCCGGCAAGACTATAAGGGCAGGAATTCAGTTTCATCGGTGAAAATGGAATTTCCTTGACGTTCACTGAAATGCCTTTGTAGTTCCCTAGGGATGTGGAAGAAAAGGGCAGAACTCGAATACAAGATAGAACACTCTCTGTTTACAATGTGAAAAGTTGCTTAAAGAAAGGAAGAGAAGAAGAAAACTTCGTTATATATGAGAAGTCCCCGCGCTTTGGTTTCGATTTTGGGGGGTTTGTTTTAAAAAGGCAAAGGAAGCACCACCCATCTTAACCCGTGTGGGCACAAGGCCTTATCTTGCAAATATATCACACAATAGTCTACCTCGGAAAGTATGCAATGCCCTCTCTGACAAAGCGCATTGTCCAGTAGGCAGTGTCTGTTTTTCTTGGTTTTTCATCACCTGAAAGTGGTTTAAATAGGAAAGGGATACTGGAGGCAATCCTCATCATGCTTGAGACTTCCTTTTTAGGCGAATAAGCACTTCTTCAGAGTTGCCTCTTTTCTAGAACAGCCCCACAGCGCGTATGCCTCTTTCCCTTTCGTGCTGTAGCTCATCCAGGGCAACATAAGGCCAATTAAAAACAGTCCCGGAGGAAGTCCTACCGCAGAAAAGATAGAATTAGTCACCCAATAGCTGTGAAGACTTTCTATTCCTGTTTAACTTCTTGGTTTGTCTGGGCTTCCTGGAATATCTTCACGGATAAGCATATCTGTGGACTGGTCGGAGCCGGAGTGCTGATAAAAGCTTGTAAAACAGGTTTTACGTATCAGTTAAACGTGTTTCCAGCTGCTGTTCCTCATGACAGGGGATGAGTTGAGGGGCTTTGTTTTCTTTTTGCCCAACATCAAAATTCAGTCAACCTAAGCTAGCACTTCTTGCAAGGATGACAAGAGAAAGCCTGGAGTTCCAATCACAGGGAACAGAAGTACTGTGAGTTCATCCTACACTTGCTACATACCCCTGGGGATCTTGCGAGGCAAATATCAGCAGGTAGCTGTGTAGAGGAAAGGGAATCTCAGGACTTAATGAGTTCATTGTCAAATATTCCTGGGATGGGGTAGGGGATGTTTGTTTTTTTTACTTTTTATAGAACTTTGCTTTTCTACAACAATGTATATATCTTGGCAGTTGTATTTGCTTCATGCTTTTTTTTTTTTCCTCACGCAAATAAAGTTGCCACTCTGCATGGCCTTGGCACATAGGTGAAGCAGAGATAGGAAACTTGCTCACATTCACATTGAAGAACAGGGTATCCTTAGGGGTTGAACCTTGGAGTGACCAGATGAGGGGAGAGATGGTTAAGCACGTACAGAAACGAGGCAAGGGACCAGCCGGTGATGCGAAGTCCCTTCATGCCCATCCGTCAGTGCACAGTCCACGACTCAGCATCCCAAAGAGAAGTCAACCATTAGTCCCCTCACTTTGCAATGCCTGTGTCTACACCCCAGGGTGTCTCCACATTTCTTTTCCTCATCACCCCTGACAGAAGAAAAAATTAAATTGAATTTAAATTCTCCCCACTGTGACAAATATTAAAGAATAAGATTTTGTTGGGTAAGGTTGAGCTTTAGGAACCCCTGTATTACCTGATGGGATTTTTGCTTCCCCTTCCCCCCTTAGTCAGAGTCACAATGAGGATGCAGGGCCTAAGTGGGGAATAAAAAGCTGGCACTTCTATAATTCAGAGACGTGCCCTCAAATGTCTCAGCTTCCTTAAAGATGTGGGGCAGAGCTGGGTTAATTGTTGCTCTAGATGCTGGAACCTTTAGCTCTGACATTTTTAGGTTTAGGCATCCATGGCCTTCCACATCTGCCCATCAACTCATGACCTCTGCCCCTTCGTGCTGATCAGGGAGGTGGAAACTCCTGGGTACCCTCAGGTTTACAGTCCCGGAAATGTTGCCTGCTTTCGACTGTCAGAACAAAACTGCCAAACCAGTCTCATCTGGACTTTGTGCAATGCCCACGATTGCACATCATCTGCCAGGCAGCAAGGCACATCTGTGCAGGATGACTCCTACTGCCGAGCGGTGGGGTTATGGTTTTCTGAGATGTTTACCTTGATGGTGCCTCTGGGCTCTCCCCATCTCTGTTGGCATTTTTGGAGATGGTGTGAAACAGAGTCAAGGAAAAATTTTAAGGAAGAAAAGAGAAGAAACCAATGCTCTTGGTTCTCTTTCATTGGGAGAGGAGAATAAGAAAGGAAATGGCAGGTGGAGAGGGACGGGGGAAGGAATAGAAATGGCCTATCTTTGATGCTGTGGTTTGTATGAAGGCATTGGAGAAGAACATAGTGGGTGCAGGGCATCTGTGTTGGCACCACATGGCAGCTGTTAAGCATGGTCAGAGCCTCCCATGTAAGTAAAGTGAGTGAAAAAGAAAATACTTGTTCCCTGGGTACCAATCATCTAGAGAATTTCTATTGGCAAACCCTCTCGGGACAACCTAACCTCAAAACAAAACAAAACAAAACAAAACACACAAAGAATCCCTGTCTTCCAAACTACTGGTCTAAAAGCCAGAGGGACAGGACGATGGAAATTGCTGGAAGAAATAGAAAGCTCTCCTCTCTTTGCTGTACCTACCTACTACCCCCGACCCCAACCCTGTGATGTAGAATTTGAAATTGATGTCGACTATGAAGTAATGCGGACTTCCAGAGAAAGAAGGAGTGTGTCCAGGGCAGTGCGAGGAAGTCCACAGGGATGTTCTGTATGATGAGCTGGTCCAACATAAAGGTGTATGAGCCTAGAGTCTCTTAAGAGTAAGGCACAACGTTTGGGGAAAGAATATGTGAGTGCTCACTTCATAGCAAGATCCGGAAGAAGGTCCAATGACATCTTAAGCCAGGTTGCATTATTAATGCTATTACTCTGAGGAGACAGATCAGTGGCGTGGGAGGGTAAGTGGCATAAAATACAAAGTGAAAAACATCCCCAGGGCATCGGGTATGAGATGACATTTGTTCAGTAATGAACAATTTTATATTGAAGTGGCTGGGAGGAGATACTTGAGATGCGCTGGGTTGACATTGCAGAACACTCAGCAACAGTGGGCCTTCCTTGGGGACATGACTTGGTAAGTTGTGTACTGTGTTACCACCATGATTCTCCGTGGATTCAAAAACTTTGCTCATAAGGAGCCTACGATTAACAGAGGCTCTGTTTTTCTGTTGTTTTCTATGTGGGAGAAGGGAGGGCGCTTAGAGTATCATTTGTCTAAGCAAGTGGAGTGATTCACAAGGTCAATCATTTCAAGACATGTTCAACAATGTATCATTTGTAGCACTCAATACAATGTTTATCATAAAATATGCACCTGAGTTTATATTTTTCTGCCAGGCTATAGGGCAATAATGTTTTGCTATGCACTCTATTTTGTGTGAATTTTTTTAAACTGTAATTTTATGTGTGAATTTTTTTTAACTAAACTATATCAAACATATTCTATGTGGACATCTGGGTTTTTTTTTTTTTTTTTTTTTTTTT